CAAAACCCTGAACCACGTCCAGAAGCAAAGGGTTATACTGCAGCTGCGCCTAAAGGTGGTCTGGGTGCCGGCCATCCCGTAGCCGAGTACGGACGTTGTCCTAAAAAAGGCCGATGTCCGTTGGCCTGTCCAGGACAGACGGTGAGGCTTAACCCTCACCTCTCGGCCGAGCGTTCGGGGTCAGTCGCTCGACGGAAGCGACCCCCTCACTGAGTTTAGGCCAAAACTGCTACATTGGGATGTTCCCCCTTATACTAACAGTCCTGAATAGGGATTATAAGGGGGGGTACTGTAATCCCTATTGAGGAGCTGTTAGTATAACGGGGAACATCCCAACTGCTACATGAAAAACTTTAGCCTCGCCAGCAAGAGCCGAAGAACCTCCGACACCGGAAGTCCGTAAGCAAGCTCGCTGGAGTCCTTGCGCTGTTTAGGGTTGCCCTCCCGAGCCAAGCACCCCCGGGCCAAGGATTCCCGGCCCAAGGGCCCGGCCAACGGCCAAGGCCCCAACCAAGCCAGGCGGGGCAAGGGCTTCCGGGCCAAGGGCCTGGAAAGGGGCGGTTCAAGGCCAGAGGAAGGCCCCCCGCACCAAAGGGCTGCCTATCATCAATGAAAATGTTTTTAAATACTGGAGTTTCGCGCACCCCTCCAGTTTACACCAGAAGCGCCAGGAAAGCCCAGGAAGCCCCCAAGAGGCGCCAAGAGCCACCAAAAGGCTTCAAAAGCTTCAAAAGGCCCCCTAAAAGAAGGGGGACCCCAAGATTTGTCCGTGCCCGCAATGAAAAGTGCGATTTTTCACTATTGAAAACGATGGTTTTAGGCACCCCTGCCCGCAATGAAAAATGTCATTTTTAGTACTGAGATCGATGATGGTTTTGGGCACCCCTCCATTTCACCCCAAAAGGACCAGGATATCCCCAGGAAGCCCCCAAATCAGCAAGGGCCTCTACGGGCCCTGACGTGCCGAAGGCCCGAAAAGGGCCGAGGCTACCCAGAACCCCAGCTTAAACCCTAACACCGCAAAACCCTGCGAAGGCCTTCAAGCAAATAAGGGCCTCTACGGGCCCTAGCGTGCCGAAGGCCCGAACAGGGCCGAGGCTACCCCGAACCCCAGCTTAAACCCTAGCGATTGAAATACTCATTGGCGAAAACAAGGCCCTGACACGCCGAAGGTCCGAACAGGACCGAGGCTACCTTCGACTCCAGCTTAAACCCCAACACCAACTTCAAAAAAGCAAGCCTCGGTGCACAAGAAAAAGTCCATAAACCCTAAACCCTAATAGAGTATAGTTTGGGTGGCCGGGGTGGGTTGACGGGCAACGTGAGCGCGCGGCCCAGGGTGTTTCACACCCGAGCGCGCGCCCTCCCCTGACACACCCTAACCCCTAAACCCTAAACCCTAAACCCTAAACCCTAAACCCTAAACCCTAAACCCGTGCCTGAGGCACCCTTTGAAGAACTCTTCGACTTCCACTGATCCTGGCCGGCTCGCTTGTACACAGAGTGTTAGTAGGGAATGAGGGAATGAGGTACCCTATATCCCCCTATATATATATATACCCTTTAACGGATTATATATATATATATGTATATATACATATGTACGTGTATGCCCTTTAAGGGATTATATAGGGTACCCTATATATCCCCCTATATATACCCTTTAAGGGATTATGCAGGGTACCTCATTCCCCCATTCCCTACTAACCAACAGCAAGCGTAAGGCTTCATGGGACGGAGCAGGGCTCTCCTGGCTAAGAACCCTAAACCCTGAACCCTACAAAACCCGAAACCCTAAACCCAACAAGGGAACATATAGAATGTCCCAAGGGCTTCAGCCTCCCTAAACCCTAAACCCTAAACCCTAAACCCTAAACCCTAAACCCTAAACCCTATGACTGTCGGGCCTTCACTGAAGGGCTCCCCCCCGAGCTCCTAAGCCAAAGGGAGCATGCCGAAAGACGCCCCATCACCGCGCCTCCCGAATCCATATCCAAAAGCTTGAAGAACCTGGGTTCAGGGTTTAGGGTTTAGGGTTTGAGGTTTGAAGTTTGGGGTTTGGGGTTTGGGGTATGTGGGTTTGGGCGTTTGGGCGTTTGGGGGTTTGGGGGCTTGGGCGTTTGGGGGCTTGGGGGCTTGGGGGTTTGGGGGTTTGGGGGTTTGGGGGTTTGGGGGTTTGGGGGTTTGGGGGTTTGGGGGTTTGGGGGTTTGGGGGTTTGGGGGTTGGGGGGTTTGGGGGTTGGGGGGTTTGGGGGTTTGGGGGTTTGGGGGTTTGGGGGTTTGGGGTTTGGGTTTAGGGTTTAGAGTTTAGGTTTAGGCTGGGGAGCACCAAACCAACAAAACTGGAATGGCGCAGGGTCTGGGTGACTTTTGGTTCCGGGGGGCGGGGGGGACGGGTTGGTTTGCTACGTGGGTTTTCCAGCTGTTGTTTTCAAAGGTACTTGGAGGTTCATGGGTCGTCATTATAAGCGGGGTTATAGGCGGGAGAACTATAGTGTGGTTCTAGCCCTATTCAGGTTACCTATAACCCTGCTTAAAATAGCTACCAATGGGAAACTTCCTAAACCCAAGGCCCTAGACCTTAAACTCTAGACCCTAGACCTTAAACCCTAAACCTTCGACCCTAGACCCTAAACCCTACCCTAAACCCTAAACCCTAAACCCTCAAACCTCAACCTTGTGGCGAACCTGTTCCTGAACCCGACAGCTGCCCTGCACCCAGAGCTGACGGTCAAGAAGCGACCAAGCATCCCAGACATCCAGGCCAAGGGTCTCAAAGTATCTTGGTTTAGGGTTTCGGGTTTAGGGTTTTGGGTTTAGGGTTTCGGGTTTAGGTTTAGGGTTTAGGGTTTAGGGTTTAGGGTTTAGGGTTTAGGGTTTAGGGTTTAGGGTTTAGGGTTTAGGGTGTAGGGTGTAGGGTGTAGGGTCGGTTTCAAACCCACTGGTGGCTCAGGGCTCAGGGACTTAGTGATGTAAAGAACGTGTAAAGAAAAACTCTTGCCAGCGACGTCCCGAAGTGCTGCATAACTGCGGGCGACGAGAGTCCCTCTTCAAACCTCGGCTATTCGAAGAGGGTTTAGGGTCTAGGGGGTAGGGTTTGTTTAGGGTTTAGGGTTTAGGGTTTAGGGTTTAGGGCTTAGGGTTTAGGGTTTAGGGTTTAGGGTTTAGGGTTTAGGGTGTAGGGTGTAGGGTGTAGGGTTTAGGGTTTAGGGTTTAGGGTTTAGGGTTTAGGGTTTAGGGGTTAGGGTTTAGGGTTTAGGGTAGGCTTAGGGCTTAGGGTTTAGGGTTTAGGGTTTAGGGTTTAGGGTTTAGGGTTTAGGGTGGCGGCGTGTTGGATGGGAAAAGGAGGTGAAAACCTCCCTCTTTCCCTCCTTCCCCCCCCCAAAACGTGGGGGGGGGGGGGTGGGGGTAGGGGGGGGTACCCGGGCAGCTTTTCCATGGAGGGCCAGGCCACCCACACCGCATAAACTCACGGACCATAAACGGTTTCGCACAGGACATTGGGAAAAAACCCACCCAACCCCGCCTAACCCCCCCACCTACCCCTACCCCCCCCTCCTACCCCCTACCCCCCGACCCTGACGCAGCCACCCCCCAACCCCCACCCCCCACCCCCCCTCCCCCCCCCCCCACCCCCACCTACCCCCCCCTACCCCCCCTACCCTCCGGTTGTTGGGCTTGAATTGATGGGGCTGCCCTCCTTCAAGCTGGCTTCAGCTCCTGTTTGGGTCTTGGTGTTACCCCCTACCCCCCCCCCCCAACGTTTCACAAACCCTCAAGCAAATCAACTTTTGGCATCCAAAGAGCTGACGAGCGCGTTTAAACCTTTCAACTATGCTCCAGCGGGGTCGGCGGCTTGAGCCGGAGGCTCTTAAATTTAGGGTTAGGGTTTAGGGTTTAGGGTTTAGGGTTTAGGGTTTAGGGTTTAGGGTTTAGGGTTTAGGGTTTAGGGTTTAGGGTTTAGGGTTTAGGGGGAAGGGTTTAGGGTTTAGGGTTTAGGGTTTAGGGCTTAGGGCTTAGGGCTTAGGGCTTAGGGCTTAGGGCTTAGGGCTTAGGGCTTAAGGCTTAGGGCTTCGGGCTTCGGGCTTAGGGCTTAGGGCTTAGGGCTTAGGGCTTCGGGCTTAGGGCTTAGGGCTTAGGGCTTAGGGCTCAGGGCTTAGGGCTTAGGGCTTAGGGCTTAGGGCTTAGGGTAGTGTAGGAAACCTGCCCGCAAACCCCTCTAAGCCCCACCTCTGAACCTCGAAGTCACATGTGGCTGCGTCACACTGCGAAAATAGGGGCTGTTCTCAGCTTAAACCCTAAACTCAAGGCCTAGGTGGTTCCCCCTACGGTTGGGGGGGAACGCCTAAGCCGACCTCAATGGCGCAAGCCGGCCCAGGTCGTTCGCCCGCCTCCCACAGCTCGAAAATCGGTAGCACCCACGATGGGCCCGGTGCCGGAGCACGTTCTCCTCGGGACCAGTGCTGGTCCCTAAAAAAAGTCAATAATTGCCCTAAACCTGGAGCTCAAGCTTCTGCGGGCCCGGCCTTGTTTTCTAGGGCCTACTGGGGACCCCTCAGTCTGGGCGCTTTCACGGGCCCCAGACTGTGGGCCTTCTCCACTATACCTGTGGAGGCTTGCCTTTTGTGAACCTGCATTTTCAACCAGGCTGGCGACCACCGTGACAGAATGATGGAAATTTTTATGGAAAGCAAGCAGTTGGCTTGAGTTTAGGCCTAAGCCCTAAAAGGAATAGGTTTGAGTGGCTTTGCCGCCTCGGACGGCGTGGGGTGGGAGAAAAGGGTTAGATGGCCTTCCACAATCGGGCCAAAGCTGCTCTTCGCGCCTCACGAAGCTTTCGAGCTTGTCCCAAAACCTAACCTTCACAGCATCTATGCCCCTTCACAGCAAACCTTAAGCCCTAAACCCTAAACCCTAAACCCTAAACCCTAAACCCTAAACCCTAAACCCTAAACCCTAAACCCTAAACCCTAAACCCTAAACCCAATAGTCGAAGCAACATGTCATAGGTGATGATGCCCTCCTCTTCCGCACCCAGCTTGCTGAAGAGGGCACGGATCTTCTCCTTATATGGGTTTAGGGCTTAGGGTTTAGGGTTTAGAGTTTAGAGGTAAGGGGTTAGGGTGTTTGGCGTTTGGACTTGCCTTTTTGAGCTTCTGTTTGGGGCTTCCGAAGTGTCCAAGAGCCGCAGGGGCACTTGAGCAGCCAAGTGTCCACGTGCGCCTCTTTGTTCGCGAGCATGGATTGAACCACATTCGCATGATCGTTCTGCGCACTTTCCACTGCCGACTGGCAAAAAACGCCTGCCAAATATAGCTTTGTGGTGCAAATAACACAAAACACGCAAAGCAAGAGCGGAGGCCAACTGGAAGACCTACGTAAACTCACATCGGCAGAAAAATGCTAGACTCTCACACTACCTTGGCCCTAAAGGAAAAGGATGCGCCCAGAAGAACGGCAACAATCCACGCCTGTCAAGACGTTCAGCCTCGGACGTCGAACAAGCCGCGTTTGCTTATGTGCTGGGATGCTGCCTCTAATGCTCTGACCGCTGTCCAGACAAGGCACACGGCGAAGTACGTGAACTGAACGTAAATGAGAAACACGATGACCCACACGCTCGAGATGTGCTCCAATGGCTCGAGCACTTCTTCCCAACTGACTCCTGGAAGACGAGATTCCCTAAATCCTAAACCCTAAACCTAAACCCCAAACCCCAAACCAATTCCCAGCCCCGAAACCCTGTGGCCTAAGACCCATCAAACAAAAAGAACTGAACCATCGACCAAAAAAAGTGGATGAGGACACAAGAAGCACTTGGCAGCATCAGGCCACAAAAAAGGGGACTTTCAAGTGTCGAGAAGCATTGGGGCAGCAAGTCAGCCCAAAGCATAGACCCTCCCTGAAACTTGAGTTCTGCTCTTTTTTTGCAAGGCGCCGCCGGTTATGGACATGAAGAGGCTGAGCATGGTTTTGGCCAGCGAGCTATAGTACCTGGCGTTTCAGGCGCATGGTTGTGGGATCTTCGCGAAAGCCACAGAGCTTGCGGAAACCCTAAACCCTAAACCCTGAACCCTGAACCGGAAACCTGGACCTTCAACTTGCGAAGATTTTGGGGGTCTCGGGTTGGGTTTGAGGGTATTCTGCAGGGCGCTCGGGTATGTGCTACAAGATGTGCGAAGGTGGTTTCGTTTTGAAAATAACCTCGGCAATGAAACTCCTCCTGTAAGTCTGTAAGTCAAGGCCTATTGACCAACAACATGACACTGGAGACCGTGTTTTTCGGGCCACACCGTTTTGGTGTGTGGGATCAAGGCGGGCCAGACTTCCCACATGTACTGTCTGTAGCTGACTTGCCTACGAGGGTCTTGATCATTTGTTCTTACACATTGCTGTTCTGCCAGTGCTTCTGCAGCATACGGAAACCTGACCCTTGGTAGCCCAATAAGCAAGCTATAAGAAGGGCACCCTTTTGGTTTTGGTTCCTCTAAAGCCCTTTAAAGCCCCCAAAGCTTCCTGGGGCATGGCACCTCACCGCTGCATTCTCGGCGCGTTCAGGCAGCGCAGACTCCACACGATAGTCAGCGACCGCCTGTGCCAGGAGCACGGAGAAGAGGTAGATGATGAGAGCAAGCCTCGCCGATGGGGTTCGCCGTCATAGGGTTTAGGGCCCTCGCCCCTCGCCTACCCAGCCCCCTAAGTGCATCGAAGCAGCAAAACCAAGGCCCAGAAAAGCGAACGCAGGGTATAGATGATGGAGGTTATCAGTGTTCGCAGCGACAGGACGAAGCGGAAGACGCGGATCAGGCGCAGAGACTTCCTTCCGTACATTCATGCTCAGAGTCATGGTCATACACACAGGTGAAGTAATCTTCATACCGATGTTCATGGTTCTCTGGCTCTTCTTTGAGTGCGCTTAATCCTCCGGGAGCCCCTTTCTTTGAGTGCTTTGCATTCTCCAGGAGCCCCTTTCTTTTGATGCCTCCGATGCCTAGCACGGAACACACACACACACACACACCACACACACACACACACACACACACACACACACACACACACACACACACACACACACACACACACACACACCACACACACACACACACACACACACGCACACACGCACACACGCACACACGCACACACGCACACACGCACACACGCACACACGCACACACGCACACACGCACACACGCACACACGCACACACGCACACACGCACACACGCACACACGCACACACGCACACACGCACACACGCACACACGCACACACGCACACACGCACACACGCACACACGCACACACGCACACACGCACACACGCACACACGCACACACGCACACACGCACACACGCACACACGCACACACGCACACACGCACACACGCACACACGCACACACGCACACGCACACGCACACGCACGCACGCACGCACACTAGTTCAGCGAAGGGCCGACCCTATATCATAGAGACGAGGACTTCAGAGAAGCAAGCTTAGGACCAAGTGGAACAGCGATCCCTTTTCTGGCTGAGATGCCTTGATTTTAGTCAACGTGCTATTTGGTCAGCTCTCAAAATCATGGTCCATTTGTTGAGGGGCCCTAAAAATTAAAAGGCCGCCTTGTAACAGCAACCCCTTATTTGGAGAAGTGACCATGCGAACCCGGAACAAGAACCTTCGAACCGTGAAGTTGCTTCAATCCAAACCCGTAAGCAACAAAACCGGAGCAAGAACAGAGACGGGAGCTGCAGCCCTAAACCCTAAACCCAAAACCTAAACAATAAAGTTTAGGTTAACACCGTAGACCCTAAACCTTAAACTCTAAACCCTAAACCCTAAACCTTAAACCCTAACCGTAAACCCTAAACCCGAACCCTAAACCCTAAACCCAAAACCCTAAAACCTAAACCCTAACCCTAAACCCTAGACCCTAGACCATAGACCCTAAACCCTAAACCCTAAACCCCAAACCCTAAACCCCTAGTACGCCGGGCGTCAGGAAGCGTGTCACTCGAACAATGCGCAAAGCACGGAGCCCAGAGCTGTTCGCGAGGCCGTGAGCCTCGAGGATGTCATAGGCGACCTCTGTCCTGGGCAAAAGGGGCTAGGGTCTAGGGTTTAGGGTTTAGGGTTTAGGGCTTAGGGTTTAGGGTTTGGGGTTTAGGGTTTAGGGTTTAGGGCTTTGGGCTTAGGGTTTAGGGTTGTGAGCTTATGGCTTCAAGCGCTTGTAGGGCTTGCATGGCTTCGGGAAGACAGATGTTCAGACGTTAGCGACGGCTTTGAACACTGCGGCTTGGGACAAAGGGACAGCTCAGGGTTCTTAGAGTTTTCATGGTGATATTTTGGTGTTTGAGTTAGGACTTGGCTCACTAACCTCCACCGGACATACTAACAATGAATATCCTCATGCCCAGTACTAAATTTCTTCGGTTGCCATGACATGGGGAGGCCACAAAATAGGCAAGCTCATGCACACGCATCCCTCGCATCCTTCCCGAACCCATGGCTTCGAGCTCAAGCCGCGATTTAGGCCTTCAGGGTTTAGGGTCTACGGTTCTCGGGCTTAGGGTTTTAGAGTTTAGGGAGGAACTACAACCCCCTAAAACGTAAAGCTCAAAGCCTGAACAAGACACAGCGAGCTTGCGACCACGAAGATGTCCAGCCAACTCCACGCGCAGTCTTTACCTTCGCACTGTCAGGGCATAAAAGGAGGGGGTTTAACGTTTAGGGATGGACACGCACCCACAAAGCACTTCAGACAACTACTACAGCTGTGGGTACTGAGAACCATGGACCCAGCCCTAAATCCGAAACCCCACAGCAGCCCCGACTGATTCCAGATAATAGGCACGGCCTCTTTTAATGGGGGTGGATTCGGGGGGGGGGGGGGGGGGGGGGGAGGGGGGGGGGGTGGGGGGCCTAGACATGACACTTCGATGGCAATGGTGTTCGATCAAACCCGACTTTCCGAGGTTGCCGCATTGCAGCGCGTGAAGTCCTAGAGTGATGTGGGAGGGTCTAGTGAGTCGAGTGCTGAATTTCCAATGACACTCTTTTCCCAGGCAGACAGGCCACCGCACAAGAACTGCCTGCCGCCTGCCGCCAGGCGCATGAGTAGCTCCAAAACAAAGAAGCCTTGGGCTTTGAGATCTGAAAGTCTAGGACTTTGAGGCGCAGGGGGCGAGCTGGGTGATGGTTCGGAGTCTTCTGGAAAGCAGGGCGTAAGCTCAAGGCACCTGTATAGATATACTGGATAATGACGAAGACCTCGGGCTGTTCTCCATGCTCCAGGGTCTGCTGCACCTCCGCACCGATAAAGATCGTGTTTGTCATCACCAAGAGGGCAAAGAAGCCTCGCATTCCACTTTCCGGCCGCGGACCCAACATGCTTACCAAGAAAGCAAACTAGGATGGTCCTTAAAACCATCTGACGCAAACTCCTGAAATTACGATCCTCTGGAAACCCAAGAAGGGACACAACGAAAAAAATATCCCAAAGGGCCCTAGCGAAGAAGCTGTCAAACGCAGTGGAGTGCACGAAGTTTCGAAGGCTCGCTGCCAGCGACCCGTCGGGTCGGGACGTCTCTGACATCCTTGGAACCCGCCCTTTTACGATGCACAAAATCGATGCGATGAGCTCTCTTTTAAAGGGGGGGTCCCTTTTTGGGTTCCCCCTGTATCCTACGGCACCCTTATGATAAGGAAGCCCCAAGAGGGGTCCTGATTTAGAGAACTACCCGTGTGCTTGGGGATCTCATCAGGATTTCATCTTAGTTCCTTGAACCTCTCATTGGGAGGAATCGGAGCATCCCTGTCACGAGCTACTTCTGGAAAGTAAGTCTGGCCGACTGCGGGGGAGAAATGATTCTCCCACCCACAACGCAGAAGCGAGGATTCAGTGCTGTCCGTGCGGACCTCGCCGGTAAAACGTGGAACTATAGGGCAGGGTAGACAGACCCTCTACGTAGTGCACCATGGTTCGGCAGACATGGGCACATCACTCCTCCTCATTCTGTAGGTTGCAGGCATGCTGCAACTCTGGTCGAAACAGCAACGCCTTGCAACTTGTAACACAAACCTAGTGCGGGAAAGGCCTCATTTGCTTTCCCATCACAGGCGAGAGAGAGAGAGAGAGAGAGAGAGAGATGTATATACAGACATATATATATATATATATTTTTATTTATTTATTTAGAAAGAGAGACAGAGATGGAGCGAGAGACTGAAAAGGCAAGCGTCCCGTCGTCTCTCCTCTTCTGCCGCTCTCTGTCCACGGTCTTGGCCACGTTGCGAAGAGCCATGTCTGCCTGAGTGAAGGTTTGGAAGACCGGGCGAAATGTCTTGTGGAGGTGCGAAGATGCCTTCGTAAGACGGGTCGGTAGGTCCTTAGAGTCCCTCCTCCCATCAGGAGCATTCTCTTTGCTCCCTCCACGGGGGGCGTGCTCTTTTGCCCTGCGCTGCGCACCTTCGGTTTCTGGGACAGTTCGCAACCTCGTCGGTGTCGGCGGGGATATTTGCCGAACCCATGGAGATGACTGTCGAGACCACGGGGTCAGCTGCGTCTTCCCAGCGGAGTGCTTCAGGATCTCGTGCTGATGATCAAGTCTTTTAATCAACTCTCTGTGCTGGCGCTGGACAACGTCGTGAAGCTTCTCCAAGCTCAGCAT